GGGGAATAAATATCCCGTTGATAGCTCTCGAACTATCGGAGTCTTATGAGTGGTCTTGGATAAAAAAGGTCTTACAGTTAAACTCGACGATAGTGAGAGACGAAGAATAAGCATCTTGCAAAGCTAGGAATAAGTATCTGATGAGATGGAAAATAAACATCTAGCGAATAAGGCCAGGAAAGGCTTCTTTTACAAGTGCAGACACGTCTGGCGATTTGCCTCTTCCTTGAACAAGGACTTCAAAATATTGCCTCTTTCTTTATTCAAGGAACGAAGTACTCCAAGATAAATTGACTTTTCCTTTATTCAAGGAATGAGGTACTTCAAGATATGTCGCCTCTTCATTTGTTCAGTGAACGTGGTACTCCAAGATACTGCCTCTTCCTTTATTCAAGGAACGAGGACTATAAGGTACCGCCTCTTCCCTTATTCAAGGAAAGAGGACTTATAAAATGCTGCTTCTTTCTTTATTCAAGGAACGAGAACTCCCAATCGTCGCCTTTGATAATAAGATGTTACAAGCAAAGGCTCACTTCAATAAATAAGAAAACCACAAGCTCGACTTATCTTCAATAAATAAGGAATTCATGAGCTAGCCTCGATGTAGGAGGACTTATGGGCTCTCCTCAAATAATAGAGAAGATGATCAAAAGTCCTTAAATAAGAGAAATCAAGACAATGAATTTTTGCTAAATACATGGTGTGTGCCAATAGCCATTTCTAAGATATGTGGGGCAAAGATAACTCATTTCCAAGATTTAAATTAAGCTCCATCATCACCCCGTTGAAATTCTGCGAAGAAGAATTATTTGACAACATTGAGAATCGCTTGAAAACTCAAATAAATTAATTGGTAAAAATGCTTTATAACTAGCAGGTGAGATAATAGTTTGACAGTCCTAAAATCCTTAAATTGGAACTAAATATGCAAGATATGGTTGTCCACACATAGAGCACCCAGAGATGTGGACGCCAAATCACCCATAGGCGTGGACATCAAATCATTCTTTCAAATTAAAAGAAAGCCAGTACATTCCAGCAACCATTTTAATTGGTTACACTTCCCAACTAACTTTGGAGACCAAAGAAATATATCCCTTTTCCATAAGTGATAGTGGGCTGACTTGGTTGCTCTTCTACTCCAAATATAGCATTGACAAATTGGCCTTTCTCAAACAAAATCTATGAGGCCTGGTGGAGTTGGTATATTTTTGAGAGAGAGTATATGGCAACGGCCCAAATATAGCACCATCTTAAATATCAAAAAAGGGCACATTTAATATAAAATGAGGTTCAAGGAAATTCATAGGTCCAATTCTTTCATTCATAATAAATGGCAGCCCAATATTTATATAACCTAAACTTATACCTCCAGCAAGCCCCCAGAATATAATAGTCTCATTTGTTATGGGCCACAGATGGGTTGACCTGTTTCAAGAGAGTAGATGCACGTACCGGCGGTACATCAAACCGCCAAAAAGGCTAATAAAAAGGGGAATTTGCCCAGATAGCCGGACTGGGCAATGATTTTGGTGAAATAGCCTTTGACCAATACAAAAG